CGCCCTCAAATACCTCCCCGCGGAGAGGAGCCTGTGACGCCCGGGGCCAGTGGGTGTGGGGTGCTAGCAGCGTGCTGGGGAGGGGAAGGCACAGGGCCCCCCTCCTGCCCTGGCCCACCGCCGCAGCCTGGCCCGAGGGAGCCGAGCCAGCAGCACAGCCTCTCCAGCCCAGCAACAGGATGCCTGTCAACAAGATGGAAGATGCCAGCTGTGAGAACTGGCAGCGCCTGCAGGTCAAGCTGCTGTGGTGTGGCCAAGGGTTTTTTTGGAGCAGTAGCCTTCCTGTGTTACAGGAGAACCTCCCCATGCCTGGGGCCAAGGGGACAGGTCTCTTCCATCCTGTTTTAGCAGATGTGGATTCTCAGCCTTCATTAGCTCACCTCAGCCTGGGGCCTGGTTCCTCAAGAGGCTGGGAGCTCTACCTTACCCTGCTCTGCCTCTGCTCTGTGGTCCCAGTGCTCCGCACATCCCTCTGGGGCTTTGGTGAGTGGGAGACAAGGATGTAGACCATTCCTTTGCATCCTCTGTGGAGCCAGTCTCAGAAACAGAGGCGGGGCCAGGGACCTGGTTCAAGCCTGGAGCAAGGCTGGCTGATTAACAGGGTGAAATACTGTTACTCACCATCCATATGGATGCAGAGTCTCCAGTACTGGTGGTGTGGGAGTCACCCAGAGCAGGGTGAGCTGTCTGCTAACCCCAGTAGTGAGCTCCCAGAACAGGCCTGTGCCTTCCCAGCTGGAAGCAGCCATGCTGGCGAGAGGCTCTGTCCTGGGGCTGGCAGTGTCCGCAGGGCTGCAGACCATGCCAGGCACCCACTGCCATGGGCAAAACCAGCAGCTTCTTTGTGGGCCAGCACATGCTTGGAGAGATTCCTGGCAAGGGACCACCTTGCTCCACCCAAGCTCATGGCAGCACAGGCGTTGCTATCGACAATCAGGGATGTGGTTGACACTGGACAAGACCATAGCTGAGCAGGCTGGCAGGATCCCTGTGCCAGGAGCAGCTTGGCCGGGCACTGTTCCACCGCTGTCACACACTGGAGCACAGAGGATGCACTTGCTTTCCTCACGCCATTTAAATTATTTAGTACTTTTCTTATAAGAATGAAATTATTAGGGTGTCTTGGGTTGTTTGTTTTATTTTTAATCCTTTCTTCCTCCCGGATGATTTTACTGGTGGCCGTGGAGGCTCTCCAGGCCAGTTGCTGCTGCAGTCTCTGCTGTTCTCTCCTTAGTGTTACTCTGGGCTGCAAGAGCCAGCTCAGTGCAGGTGTGAGGGTTTCCGTCCATGGTGGGAGCAGCTGGGAGGAGCCATTCAAAGCGCGGGGGAGGGAAAGGGCACAAGCGCCTCTTGCTTATTCTCTCTTTTTAATTTAATTTTTAAATTAAAGCTTTTTTATTCTTTTTCACATCCTTGTTAGAACTGCCTGGTTATTATTTTTTTTTTTTCCTGCAGTGAGCTTGCACGTGTCCCCCGGAGGGAAGGCAGTGGGAAGAGATCAGTGGTGGTGTAGCCTGAGCTGTGGCTGGAGAAAGGCATTGCTGGGCTTGCCCAGCCCGGTGCGTTTGAAGCCTTTTCCCTTTCTGGCTGGCACAGAGGGAGGCTTGGGGAGCAGGGAACAACAGCAGGCTAAAGCAGGGCCCAAGTGGCACCAAGTGGCAGGTGTGCTGGTCCCCTCCCAGCTGTGAAATGCCCGGCAGCTGCTGACAGCGGTGGGATCAAGCCTGCTGGGTCCTGGTGCTGTGGTGGGGCTGGCAGCCTGGGGGGTTGGTGCTCCTTTGAATGGAGCCTGGGCTTCAGAGCTCAGGCATGTAGTCAGTTTATTGCACCCAAGTAGATGATTTTTCTTCTTCTGGCACAGCTGTGGCTTGTCCCTGAGACCAGTTTGCCAAGCTTGTTGCTGCAACGTGACCTGGAGGACCTTCCTCTGCCCACTGAGGACAGGCACCTGGCTCAGGCCATGGTCCGCCCTAACCCCCCCTGCTGAACAGCCATGGCTTTACAGGATTGTCAGGAATAAACACTGCCTCTTAGGTCATATGAGCTACCAGCCTTATGTCTGCAGGGGGAGATGATGGGGGTGGTGGTACACCAGGAGCACATTGTTCAGGTTTTATTTGGGAAAGGGCTGCAAAGACTTTGCTAAGCACAGTGAAGCCAGACACAGCTCCACCTGACCAGTCCCTAGCAGACAACTTTTTTTAATACAGCCAAAACTCATTAATGTCACTCTGCTTCTGCACTATGCAACACAATTTTAGATCAAGTGTAGCTGGTAGTTTTAGCTTGCTCTCTGCTGGAGACGTGGTGGTGGAGCAGTGCTGGGATGGCACAGGCCTCTTCTGGGCTCTTCTCTGATGGTTAGGTGGCTACAGAACTGCTGGTTCTGCAGGTTTTTTTGGGAGGTGAACGGCTATGCCTGTAGCAGGAAGACTCTGTGCCATCCTTTTCAGATAATGCTTTACCCAGCCTAGCCAGTCCTTACCCTAAAACGTGCCTACAGGGGTTTTAGGTACCTGGAGTAAACCCAGCACGGCTTTGGTCTCCATGTGCCCTCTGCCGGGCAGCATCAGCTGGAGGCAGCCACTGAGTCAGGGCCGGCAAAGATGTCCTTAACTGAGCACAGCTCTTTAAAGCTAAAATTCATTCCTACTAACGCAGCACCCTTCTCCTGCCAAGAAAGCACGCCTGGCGCCAGAGCATGTGGCAGCCAGCACAACAGGAACCCGTCCCAGGGCTGGGGACCTTCTGCAGCACCACACCGTGTACCCGCCTGGTACATACAGCTGAGGAGACAATAGATTTTACCGTGTTTTATTTAGTAAAATGTTAAAATAAATAAATACAAATTGATCAGATGCTCTCTTTCCCCTTCCCCTCCAACTTTACTTTGCTAAAATCTAAACACATTTGTACCAAAATTGAAACCACAAGGGACTTGAAGGCAGCAGAGACTGCGGATCACTATGAGCATCAGGCTAAAAAAGATAGAGATATTTAAAAAAAACCAAACAAACAAAACCAAACCAGCTCATGAGTTGGTGTTCTCATGATGTGATTCTGTGACAACAGTGCAGTACTGGTCAGAAAGGGCATTTCACACCAGGGCCTGCAAGGGCTGGAGCTTGGCGTGGCCTGGGGCAGCACGGGCAGTGCCACAGCTTCGCCAGGGGAAACCAGCCAGGAGAGGAGCTGACACTGTCCTCTGGCAGCGCCGGACCTGTGGCCCTGGGGCTCGGGCATGGCACCCTTCAGCATCAGCTCCTGGTCCAACTCCAAGCCAGGAGTCTGGCTTCACAGCTTGCTGAGGGTGTGGGCACAGGACAGAGCACAGCACACAGGTGGGGTGGTGGCAACAAGTTCACTGAGGTGGTGCCAGCACAGGTCGCAGGAACACGAAGCTGTGATCGAAGCCAGAGTATTTTCTCTATATAAGCAGAGCTGCCTTCACAACCTGTCTGCCCTCAGCTGTGGACCACATGGTGGGTGTTTGCAGATCAGAGCCAGACAAAACACCGCTTGAGAAGCCATCCCACTGCTGCACCAGACCTTCCAGGCAAGCAGCTGCTCAACACGACTTCTCTGCACCTCCACTGCTGTTAACGCAGCCAAGTTGTTCCCGTGCTCTGCAGAATCCTGAACAGGTTGGCTCTAGCCATCTGCCCCCTGGTTATCTGGCTAAATCTTTGCTTAATGGAGTTTGAAACAGTAACCTGTGCTTTGCTTCTGTGGCACTACGAGAGGTGGCTGAGGAGCCTCTTCCAGTACAAGAAGGTGCTTGCAGGGGCCCTGCAGCTGGAACTGGAGTGAAGCACCCCCATGGGACTGCTGAGAAGCTGCCCGAGCCTCAGGGGCTTCTTACAGGGTAGCAAAAACCCTCCTCTTGAGGAGGGTCTTGGCTGCCTGTCACAGATGGCATCAGGAATGACTCAGTCTCAATGTACTTTCTGGAAGTGAGAGCTGATGGGTAAAGACGCTACTCCTGGCTCTAGAGTCAGTCACTGTTTTGCTGCCAGTGATAATTAAAGAAACATAGAAAACTATGATTAGAAATTACATATTAGCCCAGAACAGGCAGAAACACGTGGCCTCCTGCCACACCCAGCACAGAGCACGACTGTACCTCTTCTTTCAACAGTGGCTGCTCCCAGTGCCTGCAGCTCTTGGTGGCAGAACTACCAATACCCACTTTATGGACGGGAACTTGAGGGACAGAGGGATTCTTCCTTTCTCTTTTAAATAAGTGCCCTCTTCCCCTTAATTTCAGCCTGCCCTGACTGATAGATCTGGGTAATGAGGAAGGGGAGCCCCCTGCCTTTCCTGGCACAGACACAGCATCTCCCCAGTGCTTCCACAGTATCAGCCCTGAGTGCTGGGGATCCAAGATGAAGGGTGGACACTGCACACAACTCTGGGAGCAGGCCTCTGCCAGTGCTGGACCTGCTTAAGCCACAGCCTTCCTTCCCTGCCAAGCTACACCCCCAAGGCCATTCTAGTGGCTCACAAAGTGCTTTCTTAAAGCTCAGAAGCAGTAACACCTCATTTCCAACAACACAGATAAACGAAGGCAGGCAACAACAGAGCAAGAATTGGTGGAGGTCTACATTTTTCAGTGTAAATGTAGGAAAAAGAAAGGAGATGCAAATTGCCCAGGTGTTGAGAAGTCTGCTGAGTGCCAGCAGGCTGATGCTGCTCCCTGCTGCTGCCTTTCTGTACCACCTCTCCACCCAGGGCAGAGCCAAGCTTACAAAGTTTTCAAATTCCCTAGGCACTCCTGATAGTAAACATGCCCTTAAGTACTTCTTCCTTCCTAGATGTGGTCTGGGCTGAGTTTCTCTGTCTGAAGCATTTGACACCTGCTTGGATATTAGAGTGAAGAAGAACAGACATAGAGAGGTTAAGTACCCTGCTAACATACTTAAACTAACACACAGGGAGAGCTGTTCTCCCAGGAGAGTGCCCCAGGGGC